ACCAGGCTTTCCTCGAACTCAGAGATCTGCTGCCATCTGCCTCCCCAGTGTTGGGATTAAAGCGCACGCCTTTAATCCCAGCACTCGGGAGGCAGAGGCAGGCGGATCGCTGTGAGTTCGAGGCTGGGCTGGACCGACAGCCTTGAAAACAATACAGAGAAACCCTGTCTCGTAAAAAACAAAAAATAAAATAAAGGCATGAACCACCACCACCCAGCTGGCATTGGATCTTATAGGACTACAGTTGGAGACAGTTGTGAGCCACTATGTAGGTGACAGGAATTGAGGACCTCTAGAAGAGCAGCCAGTTCTCTTAACCACTGAGTCATCTCTCCAGCCCCCTGAACATTTTAATAACAGTTCCAATATAAGCTATGTGATACTGGATAAGTTTCTTGTTTGTTTTCATTTGAGGCAGCCCAGGCAGGCCTGGAACTCAAACTCCAAGCGATTCTCCTGTCTCACCTTCCTGAGTGCTGGGATTACAGGAATGAGCCACTATACCTGGGTGAACAAGGTTCCTATCATCTATCTGTTGGGTATATGAACACCATAGGGTCTGTGTGCCTTGAAGGGTTAAGTCAGTGGATGTCACGCTGGTCCAGGCTGGTGCCATCCTTTGGTTACAGCAGGAAATTAGAGTGAGGTATGATCCAAAGGACTGTAATGCTGTTTTGGCTCCGCCCACCTCTTCCTAGGCTTCTCCATCGTGAGGAAGGCTTTCGAGGAGAAGAGTTTTTTTAAATGCTCAGCTGTTCACAAAAATAGCCTTCCCGTAGAGCCCCTAGATGCAAGCAGACGATTTCTTTGTTACTCAGCGGCTGGTGGGTGGGTGGGTGTGTCTGTGCTGCTCACTTCCTGAATGAACAGCTGTGCCTCTCTGTGCGTGGGGAGATAATCACCACACACTTCAAACCAGGACCAGCCTCCTTCATTCACTGTGCCCTGCTGCCTGGCAGCTCCAGCTTGTGTTTACCAGTGGCAAGGGCAGAAAGGAAATTGCATGCAAAGGGAGGGACCAAGACCTTGGCCCTGGCCGTTCCCTGGTCCGCAAAGGACAGAATCCCAGCCTCCACAGAAGCGGCCTTTGATCCGTGGCCCCCAGCTTGTGTCTCAGCTCCCGATACTGACTCCCTTCACTTTTCCTGCCATATCTATCCCTTCCTATTGCTCTGCTGAGGGACCCTTCTGCCCAGTTGAGCAGAGGTCCTCTCTCCACAACTCCTTTCAAGGCTGAGGCAAGACTCCTTCATTCCTGGCACTGAGCTCAGAGAAATGCTCCGTGGCCACTCCCTTCCACTGAATCCATCACTCAGTTCAAGGCCACTGGAGAGACAGCTGGTTTGGGCACCAATATTCCAATCCAGGTCTGGTCACTGGTTCTGTTGGGCCAGATTAGGCTAAGGGTCTTGGGGTTGAGAGAGGAGAATCAGGTCATTCTACCACGTGATACCAAGCAGGTCCCAGCCAGTGGGAAAATGGATGGCAGGTGAGAAAAGTTACAGGTTTCTAGCATAGCCTCACCGTCCTCTGTGAGGACAAGGTAATGTGTTTAGAAGATTACTATAAGCTCAAGGGCTCTGCTCTGTCCCTCTGTTACCCCTGAGCTGTAAGACGATGAAGCCCCATGATAGGAGGAGGAAGAGAAGGAGGAGGAGTAGGAAAAGTGGGGGAAGAGAAGAGAAAAGGTAGGGAATGGTACCCCACATGCTTGTAACCCCAGCTTGTGGGATATAGAAGCAGGAGGCTCTGGAGTCTGCAATCATCCTCTATCGCAAGTTCAAACCTAGCCTAGATACAGGAGACCCTGTCTCAAAAACAGTGAGGCAAGAACCGAGTAGCACACACGTGTGCATATGCCTGTAACCCCAGCACTCAGGAGGCTAAAGCAGGGCTGTCACAAGCTTGAGGGCTGTCAGGTTACACAGCCAGACTCTGTCCCAGAAGAAGCAAAAATCTGTTTCTCTAAGGTTTGTTTATGTATTTTATGTATATGAGTGCTCTGTTTGCATATATGCCTGCATATATGGTTGTGAGGCACCAGGTTTGTCTGGGAATTGAACTCAGGACCCCTGGAAGAGCAGCCAGTGCTTTTAACCACTGAACCATCTCTCCAGCCCCTCTCTAGTGGCCAAAAAAAGAAAGGAAGACACTTCATTGTGGGTCAGTGCTACAGCATCAGCCTCAGTCTCTCCTGTATGGACATGACTGACTGAGCTGGGCAATGATGGCGCACACCTTTAATCCCAGCGCTTGGGAGATAGAGGCAGGTGGATCTCTGTGAGTTCGAGGTCAGCCTGGTCTACAATGCTCTCTAGTATGACCCTGCCTAAAACCAACAAAACCAAACAAACAAAAAACCCACAACAACAAAGCAGTCATTTCTAGGCATGTGGCGTGCAACGTGTTGCATCCCACGCTCCTATAACCAGGTGACTAACACAGGCAAATTCTCCCCTACTGACTACCCCTCCCCCCACACCCAGTACATAAGGCCTACAAAACTAAGTGAGGCTGTTGAGTGTGTCAGAAAGGGGAAAGCACACTTTCTGGCACAGAACCTCCGTGCACCGTGGCTAACCTCACTAGTCTTTCTGGTTTGTTTCTCTTACCTTTCCTGTCCTTCTCTTTATTCCAGGGTTCATTTGTCTGCTTGAGTTTTTTATTAGTTTTATTTATGTGTATGTATGTATGCATGTCTATGTGAGTGTGTGCCATGTGTGCGTTCGATCCCCCTGGAGCTGGCATCTGTAACCTGCCCTACATGGTGCTGGGAACCACACAGGTCCCCTGGAAAAGCCGTCTAAATACTGGGCCCTGGTTTGTTTGGTGTTGCTTTGTTTTTAGGGACACTGATTCTTTTTTTTTTTTTCTTTTCTTTTTTTGGTTTTTCCAATCAGGGTTTCTCTGCATTGTTTTGGAGGCTGTCCTGGAACTTGCTCTGTAGAACAGGCTGGCCTCGAACTCACAGAGATCCGCCTGCCTCCTGAGTGTTGAGATTAAAGGTGTGAGCCACCAACGCCTGTTTTTTTTTGTTTTTTGTTTTTTTGTTTTTTTTTGGTGTTTTTTTTTTGTTGTTGTTTTTTCAAGGCAGAGTTTCTCTGTATCTTTGGAGGCTGTCCAGAACTAACTCTTGTAGACCAGGCTGGCCTCGAACTCACAGAGATCGCCTGCCTCTGCCTCCTGAGTGCTGAGTTTAAAGGCATGCACCACCACTGTCTGGCGGGAGGGACACTGATTCTTATCATAGAGTTTAGGCTGGCTTCAAGCTCATGGCAGTCCTCAGTGCCAGGATCGAAGATGCGCACCACCATCTATGTTGATTCGTGTGTGTGTGTGTGTGTGTGTGTGTGTGTGTGTGTGTGTGTGTGTGTTCATTTATTTGCTTGAGATAGGGTCTCTCAAGATAGCCCAGGGTAGACTCAAACTTGTAATCTTTCAGCCTCACCCTCCCTAGAGCTGGGACTTACTGGTTTGTGCCAGCTCACAGGGCCCCTCCTTGTGACTCAGTAGTATAGAGAAGACTTCTTTCTGAGCTGAGGTTGAGGAAAAGTGACGGGAAGGAGGCAGAGAAGCCCCTCTATGGAGGCCTCTTGCAGCCTGGCCCTGAGCTCACAGACAGTTGAGCTGTAGCTGGCCTCTTTTTTTTTTTTTTTTCCTTTGGTTTTTCGAGACAGGGTTTCTCTGTGGCTTTGGAGGCTGTCCTGGAACTTGCTTGGTAGTCCAGGCTGGTCTCGAACTCACAGAGATCCGCCTGCCTCTGCCTCCCGAGTGCTGGGATTAAAGGCATGCGCCACCAACGCCCGGCCCCTCTTTTTTTTTAAATATTTTATTTATTTGTTGTGTATACAGTCTTCTGCCTGCATGCCAGTGGAGGGCACCAGATCTCATTCAAGGTGGTTGTGAGCCACCATGTGGTTGCCGGGAATTGAACTCAGGACCTCTGAAAGAACAGTCAGTGCTCTTAACCTCTGAGCCATCTCTTCAGCCCCAAACAGTAGCGCCCGAACAGCGTAGCTGTCCTCTTAAGGAAGACTATAGAGTCCTAAAGGCTTTGCATGAGGGCTGAGAGCCAAATCCAGGATTGTCTGAAGAGAGACCCCAGACCTAAACTGCTCGGACTGAATCTGCTTGAGTCTGGCCTCTTTTCTTGGAGCCTCCCTACCTCTGTGTATGTGTGTGTGTGTGTGTGTGTGTGTGTGTGTGTGTGTGTATGGTGTGTGTGGTGTGTGAGTATGTGTGTGTATGGTGTGTGTGGTGTGTGTATGGTGTGTGTGAGTATGGTTTGTGTGGTGTGTGTGTGGTGTGTGCATGTGTGTGTGTGTGGTGTGTGTATGGTGTGTGTGTGTATGGTGTATGTGTAGGAAACAGAGAGATGTCATTACTCTTTTAGATTTCTCTTCCACTGGATTCAGTAGCCCCTCCCAAGAACCTAATGTGAGCACATCATTCACTTGGAGATCTCAGATCCTCCAGAGGGGACAGCACTCAGCAGCAGCTCCTGGCTTCAGTCTGAGACTGGAAGGCAGGGGTGGGTAGGAGGGATATCTGGGAGTCCCAGGAACCCATCTTATTCCCAGAGGGTCTCCTCTCTCCTCTGGCCTCCCTCCTTCTCCAGGTTACGCCCTCCTGCCCTGCAGGACCTCCCAGTATGAACATATGCACACAATCACCCCCTGCACCCCATTGGTTCCCCAGTCACCAGGAATGCCTGCCATCATCTCTAGCTCTTCCTCCCCTGCATTCGTTCCCCAGCAGCTACCCTGACATGGCAAATTATACCTTGGTCCAGCAATAAAAGCCACTTTCCAAAACAGGAAGCATTAAAACTCCAAGCAGCGATGCAGCTTAGCCACTCACCCAGCACTGGCCTGGCTCAGGAGATGTCCGGGCCAGAGAGGAGAGAGCCTAGTGTCCCTTTAAGCTGGGAGTACAAATTCCCTTCCCAGTCCCTCCCTCCTACATACCCTGACGTCAGAGGGAAGGCGTGTATGAGTGAGTGAGGGGCCGAGGTGCCTCCCGCACACCACACACACACACACACACACACACACACACACACAGCACAGCACACAGCACACAGGCCACTGAGTGCAGCATCCAGACCTGACCCTTGCCAGCCAGCTCCGCGGTCCAGAGATAGGGCGCTGCCCACTACAGGAGGCAGTGCCTGGCCCCCCCCCGCTGCCAGGGCGAGGTAAGGGGTAGCATGGGGGACCTGAAGGAAGCCTGTGATGGAAAACTGTGGCAGAGGCAGGGGCAAGGGCAGTTGGTACCAAGAAAGGCTGTGTGGAGTGAGGCAGGAAAGGTCGGAGCTGGCCCAGCCCCAGCTCTTAGAGGATGCTCTAGATGCGGTGGAGCCCACCGCCCTTCCCTTCTCTCCCCTTGACCCTCGAGAAAAGCCGAGGTGGAGGCTCCCTCAGGTCCCAGTGCGTGTGAACGTCTGTGTCTGGGACTCGCTGGGTTGAGAGGCTGACAACAGCAGCTTCCTGCCAAGCTGCAGCCTCCAGTCTGGGAACTGGGCGAGGAAAAGCCTCGGCTCCTTCCAGACCCTAAAGGGCCAGTCCAGAGCGCCGCTGGATCTTGCCCCTGAAATCTGCATTGAGGCCAGGGTGGAGAGGGACTGCCTGGGGCAGGCAGGGGTCCCAGAGCAGCTGTCTGTCTCCTCACTCTGTTTTTCCCTGGTGTGGCAGAGATAATTGTGTCAACTGGCTGGAGGGATGGCTCATGCTATTTTCACCTTTATGTCACCCCACTTAGTCCTTGCTCTCCCCTGCAGGCTTGCTAGGCTAGCTCTGACATCCCCCTTTGCCTAGGTACAACCCACGGTAGGGCAGGGCAGGGGTGACAGGCCTGCTGGGCCACCCTTGGCTGGCATCAAGCCCCTGAGTGCTCTGACCCTGGCACAAGGAGACTGAGTGGAGATGAGGGGCGATGCTGGCACCCACAAGGAGACAGCAGGTTCCTGCCAGGCTGCAGGCTCTTCCCAGGGCGGAGGGGACAGGAGTGAGAACAACAATAAATCCAGAGTGGAAACTGCTGCATCCACTGGGCTGGGGGAGGGGAGAAGGATGGAGAAGGATGTGGGCCTGGTGGGGGGCGGGTGCCCTTTCTGACAGCCTGGCACTGGGTTGCCTGGATGCCACCCAGTCAGGGCCTTTCCCCGGGAAGGAAGATTTCCAGGCCTCTCGTGGGGGTCGGTGGGAGGGGCCCTTTCCCAGCCCTGACTCCATCCCAGAGGTCTCTGGATGTGAACGTCCAGATTCTGAGTGTCTCCTCCCATTCTTGCCCCTCATTGCCTTGAAGTCCCTTCCCAAAGCATCTGTTCTCAATCCTTGTCTGTCTGGCCCCACCTTCAAAACACACAAGCTGGCTGCAAAGGGTCCCAGGAGAACACACCATTCCGTCCCAGCCCGGGGACAGACAGCTGGACCAAATTTGAAGATGCTCATTGGCTAGGGAGAGGGCTCCCTTGCGGCCCTCGAGGTCCCTCAGGGATGGGAAGATGGTGGAGTAGGGATATTTGCCAGCCCATCCAAAGGCAGAGTGCCCCCACCCACCCTAAGTGCACCCACTCTTTACAGGTGATACCCAGCAGAGGGTGCTCTGAACCTGATGGCTGTCACAACCACTAGTCACAAGCTTGGTGCCCGGGACTCAGAGCCCTGTGATCAAGCAGCTTGGGGGTGATCTGCAGCAAGGTGAGGGAGTAAAATCGGGTGCAGCCTGCACACATCCCCCCACAAATGATAGTGGCCGGGCAGGAGGTGACTTAACACCCCGGGGGACTTAGAGACCACACTGGGCATTCCCACTGCCACTATGTGTGGCTTTGGCCAGTGTGATCCTCTCTCCAGGGGACCCAGTCAGGTAGAGGTGGAGCTTGTCTGTGCACTTGGCTCTAGGAGATATCCTGGCTTTCCCTTCCCCCACTAATGCCAAAGAAGCCCAAAACCTTAGGAAAAACAGCCCCAGAGATGCTGGACATGTGACCAGGAGGTGAGTAAGGGTCACTTAAATAATTAATTTTTAGTATTGGCTGGGACAGCTACACACACACACACACACACACACACACACACACACACACACACTGTGGAAGGAAGGAAAGGAATCAGGTTTAATTAGGTCACCCCCAGCTGCAAGGGCTGCTTTTGGCACCGATGTCTTTAAGGAGTGGCTGAGAAGCTGGGGGAGGGGCAGGCAGGTGGTCCCAAGGTGGTTCTGTCACCTCCCAGGACCCAGCACAGACGAGCCTGAGACACTCGGCCAGCCCTTCGCCACCCCTCTGGTGCTCCCTGTCTTTCTGTTTTTGAACAGAGGTACCCATTCCTCCCCAGTGGCACCCCATAATGGGGACCCCGGGCTGGAACACTTTTATTGGGGGAGTTGTTTTTAAGCCTCAAAGAGTTGGTGAGTGATTCACCCAAGGTCATGGGCTGAGTCAGCACAGCACCAGAAATAGAACCCCAAATCCTGGCTCCCTGGTTCTTATTTGGCCTAGACAACATTCTCCGGGGGAGGCCCAAGGTGGGAGATTTTGTCCAGGGAATTGAGGGTTTTCTACCTTGCCTCAGCTGCACACCCCATTTCCATGCCTGTCTAGGGCTCAAGAGGGCTACTGGGCCAGCTGGGTGTCTTCAGTGAGTCCTTTTCACCCCTCTGGGCCTCCGTTTACTCCTCTGAAGAATGGGTACATTGGTAGTAATTACTATTTAGGCTTCTTATGGGGCACAAATGGGACAAGAGTCTGACAGGTGGCTAAATTGATAGAAGGTGGGAGAGACTTGTCAAATGAGGGCTAGACAGCAAGTCTCAGATTCCACACTATATGGGGACCCTTTATGGCCAAGGCTGTCTCCTGTGTATATTGCCCTAGTGTCTCTTGCTCAGTTTTAGTGTGTGTGTGTGAGTGTGTGTGTGTGAGTGTGAATGAGTGTGTGTGAGAGTGTGTGAGTATGTGTGTGAGTGTGTGTGAGTGTGAGTATGTGTGTGAGTATGTGTGTGAGTGTGTGTGAGTGTGTGTGTGTGAACTGCTTCCTTGGGGATGACCATGTGGGTATTTAGCCTCAGACAGCTAGACTGGCCTTCATTAGTCGTCTGGTCTGGCAATGGCTCATGTGTCTAGGTACACAGAGAGTGGGCGACGGTCCCTCAGTGCTGATGGTGGAGCCGCTGGCTTTCACTGAGGTGCCACATTGAAGGGGGTTCTCGTGGTCAAGACACTGAACCCCAGTTTTCAGGAGGAGAGTCTGAGACTCGGAGCCAAGCCCCAGCTGGCTCTGGTCCGCTATCGCAGGGCTGACTCACTTGTCCTGAGTGCCAAGGTCCCATGGCACACCGCATTGCACCCTGGGTTATCTCCAAACAGCGCTGATGTTTTGGCTTTGCCTCTCCTAACCCCACCACTGCAGAAACGGCCTGTTAGTCTGGTTTCCCTGAAGGGAATGGCGAGCCGGCCGGTGGCCTCTGTGCACAGCTAAGGCCGTGCCTGTTCATGGTGAGTCATGTTCTGAACCTCACCCACTATCCCAGTACCACATAGACTGGTGTGGTGTGAGACCTATAATAATCCAGGATCCAGGCGGCAGAGGCAAGAGGATTGGAGTTCCAGGCTAGACTTGGTTACTTCCTGTGCCCCAAGGAGAAACAAAACAACAAACAAAAAGCAACCCAAAAGTCTCTTTGCACAGCGTGCTGGTATCTAAACAACGAAAGCCTTGGGCCGCTTGTCCTTCCCCGCATCAATATTCTGGATGCTGGCTCTACATCTTCTCCTCTCCCTGGGCTCTCTAGGTGTCGCAGGGCTGTTCTGGTCTGGGAAAGGGTAGAGCCCTGACAATCAACAGAAAACCAGGGTATCATTGCTCAAGTCTGCAATCCCAGTACTCAGAGGAGAGGCAGAGGGTCCAAAGTGCATCCTTGATCACGCGACTGCGTGTTCAGGAGCTAGAGCAGTGGTTCATCCATTAAAAGCACCCAGCCCAGCAGGTGGCTTACAATCACCTGTAACTCTAACACCACGGAATCTGATGCCCTCTTCTGGCCTTTGTGGGTACTGCCCACATGTGTGCATATTAACACGTACAGTCAAATTGAATAAACTAATTTTAAAATATTTATTTTACTTATGGGTTGTTTTTGTTTTGTTTTTGAGACAGAGTTTCTCTGTGTAACAGCCCTAGCTGTTCTGGAACTCACTCTGTAGATCAGGCTGGCCTTAAATTCGTAGAGATCCGACTGCCTCTGCCTCAAGGTTATTGGGATTAAAGGTGTGCATCACCACCGCCTGGACAAATAAAATAAATCTTTTGGGGGGGTTCAAGACATGGTTTCTCTGAATATCCCTGGCTGTACTGGAACTCTGTAGACCAGGGTGGCCTTGAACTCACAGAGATCCACCTGCCTCTGCCTCCTGAGTGCTGGGATTAAAGGCGCGCGCCACCGCTGCTATAATCCCAAGATATGGGAGGCTGAGGCAGAAGGACTGTAAATTCTAGTCCAGTTTGGATTACATAGGAAGTTCTAGGCCAACTGGAATAGTGAGACTCTAAGCCTCCTCAGCTCCACAGAAAAAAGGCAAAAGGGGGTCTGGGGGCAACTCGGTGAGTAAAGTAACAGCTATGGAAGCAGGGCAGCCTGAGTGTGACCCCCACACCTGTGCAAAAGGCCAAGCCCCTCAGAGGACCTCTGTAACCCAGCACGGGAGGCAGAGGCAGGGGGATCCCTATAGGTGAGCTCTGGGCTAAGAGAACAACACTTTGCTTTGACAAAAGAGCGGAGAGCAAATGAGGAAGACACTCAACATGAACCTGTGGCCTTCACACCCACGCACACACATCATGCGAAACCCACACATACACATAAACATACACATATACACCGAATGTCTGTCATGACTTACCACTTTGAAACCCCGGATTCAGTCAGCCCTAGTTTAGATTCTGCCTCAGACATTGTGCCCTTGATTGATTTAACCTGAGCCTCAGTTTTCTTGTCTGTAAAATGGGCTAATACCACTAGCCTTAAGTGATGCAGCAGGAATTAAACCAAGGAAAAGGAGCTGTGAGACAAGGAAGCCAACCAGGAGCAGAGGAACAATCCTAAAGGGGGTGGGTAGGGAAATATAGGGGACTGGTCTAGCGCCCCAGTCAGCAACCAGCCCTATCTGTAAGGAACTAAATCCCCAGGTGCAGCACTTGCCTAGCACTCCCACAAATTCAGAAGAGCCGCTGAGGAGGGAGGGCCTGTCCCATTCAGCTCCCTACCTGGGTGGATGAGGCCCGGCCCTGCAGAAGCATCCGGATGTGGAAGCCGCCCTCTGTAGAGCCCTGGGAAGGCCTGCTCTTTCTGATGCTCCCGAGCCCCGCCCCGCCACCTGCTGCCGCCTCTGAGTCGCTCCCAGAGCTCACCCTGGAAGCAGCGTGACCTTCCTTTCTCACCGGCAGCGGCTGGTGGAGCAGCCCCGCCATCCCTGCATCTCCTTGGTAACCACGGTGGCTCCTCCCTTCTCATCCCCTACTGACGCCCCCATTGCTAGCTGCAGCCGCCCAGCTCACCACCAGGTCTCAGGACCCTGTAGTGGGGAGGTTCAGTGGCCCTGTGCCCACCGAGGAAGCAAGGATGTCTCCACTACGGTCTCCCTCACCAAGGGGGGACCAGGGTCCGGGGCCAGGGCTCCTGAGTGACCCTGGGACTTTGGTGCCTGCCTTATCTTTGGCAACAACTTTATTGTGCAGTTTGTTTGTTTGGAATCGGGGTGGAGCTCCGAGTGTTACAGAGCTTGCCTAGTTGGCAACCATGCCCAGCATCAGGGAAACAAAAACAAAAACAAACAAATAAAAACAAAACACGAACCTCAGTGGATTCACCGACTGTCACTTCAGTACTCACCGAATAAAGGCTTTTTAGTAGTCAGTGCCCTAGAAGAAATGCTAGTCACCCCACACCCTCCTCCCCCGACGGCAAATCCACCGATGCGTGATTTTGTAACCGCCTCTTCTGTGGTGTTCTCAAGGGTCATTTGTGTAACAGGAAGCCGTGTTTCATGCCTGCCTAGGGCCTGGCTCTACCTATGGCTGGTAGACTGCCTGCTCACCCTACAGAGCGCATGAAGTACCTGTCAAAACCAGAAGAGGGCCGGGCGTTGGTGGCACACGCCTTTAATCCCAGCACTCAGGAGGCAGAGGCAGGTGGATCTCTGTGAGTTCGAGGCCATCCTGGTCTACAAAGTGAGTTCCAGGACAGCCTCCAAAGCCACAGAGAAACCCTGTCTCGAAAAACCAAAAAAACAAAAAACCAAAAAAACAAAAAAAACAAACAAACAAAAAAACAGAAAAGGGCATCAGATCCCCGGGATCTGGAGTTACAGATAGTTTTTGAGCCACCGTGTGGATGCTGGGAACATAATCTGGGGTCCTCGGCAAAAGCATTAAATGTTCTTTACTTAAAGCCACAAGTTTCCCCCCTGCCCCTCCCTTCTCTCTCTCTTCCTCTCTTCCTCTCTTTTTTCTTTTTTTTGAGTTTTGTTTGGGACAGGATCTTACTCTGTAGCCCAGACCAGCCTTGAATTTGCAGCCTTCTGGAACTCCTATCCCAGCCTCAGGAGCGCTAGGATTACCGGTGTGAGTCTCCATGGCTCGCCTGACCTTCTGGTTAGGGTGGGGGTGGGTTGTTCATTTGTGTCTGTTTGTTTTGGGAAAGCATTTCCCAGCATTGCAGAAAAGGGGGGTGGGGTCCTTGGGGAGATATCTCAGTGTCTGAGCCCTTACTGGGGAGGGGGAAGGTGAAGATCTCAGTTAGCGGGCAGTGGTAGTGGACGCCTTTGATCCCAGCACCAGGGAGGCAGAGGCAGGCAGATCTCTGAGTTCGAGGCCAGCCTGGTCTACAGAGCGAGCTCCAGGACAGCCAGGACTACACAGAGAAACCCTGTCTCGAAAAACAAACAAACAAACAAACAAGCCGGCAGAAGAGCTACAGACGCAGCTTGGTGACAATGTAATGACATGCGGTGGAGGAGTAAAGGGCTGGGAGGTGGGGGCTTTCCCCTGTTCCTTTCTTTCTAACTATAGTTAAGGAAGGGCCTCAACCAAGACTCAGGATGACCGGGGAGAGGAGGAGGGTCTGTCAGTCACATTGCACAGATGAGAAACCGAGTCCCAGGGTCAGCAGCTAGCAGTAGCAGCACTGGAGGTCTCCTGGGAGACCTGCAGGCCACCCGTCTCTCCCCAGTCGCTACAGTGGCTTCTCTTAGGCTCCATGACACCTAAGCTTTTGAGGGAGAATGGGTGGGGCATGAGAGGAGTTACAGCCTTTTCCTTAATACTGGTATGTTTTATACAGAGAAACCCTGTCTCGTAAAAACCAAAAAAAAAAAAAACTGGTATGTTTTTCCCAAGATCTTCAAGGCCCTAAAATATCACAATGGAGGACAATGAAATAACTTACAAAAATGCTTTTTCAATAGCAGCACTGGCCCACGCAATGACCCTAGGCAATTACCAGTCTCTTGTGGGCTCTGGGCTGTTCCCTTACCCCACCCCACCCTGCTGGGTGAGGATCAACCCCAGCAATTTGAGCATGCTAAGTTAAGTGCCCTCCCCACATCCCCAGCCCTTCAGCCTCATTTGGAGAGGCAGAAACTGGGCTAATGAAAAATAGACCACATTCCCAAGAGTTCACCATGTGCTCGCTGCTGCTGTTTTTGGGCGTATTGAATGGCGTTTGGGCCTCAGCGTAACCTGCCTACAAAACAGGAGCCAACCCTACCCACAATGCAGAGCAGGAAATGGCATCAAGGGTCAAGAGAACTGCCTGAGACCAGTCAGTCAGGTGGACACTGCGGGGAGGTCGCCAAATCTTAGGTTTAAAATCTGAACCCAGAGCTGTGTGTGAATTTGAAACCACTAACATTTATGCCAAATCTTGGCCACCGCATGTCCCATCTCCAGACCTCTGCAAGCTGGAAGAACTTACGGTTCTTTTTTGTTTTGTTTAGTTTTCTGAGACAGGGTTTCTTTGCGTATCTCTGGCTGTCCTGAACTCCCTTTGTAGACCAGGCTGGTCTCGAACTCACAGCGATCCGCCTGCCTCTGCCTCCCGAGTGCTGGGATGAAAGGTGTGCGCCACCACAGCCAGCTGAATTTAGGGATTCTAAAGCAGGTCCTGCTTTTCTTTTTGTTGCTGTTGTGACACAGGGTCCCATATAGACCAGGCTAGCTTCAAACTTACTGTGGAATCCAGGACAACTGTGAACTTCTAGTCCTTCTGCTGCTGCCTGTGTGTGTCAGGACTATTACACAGATGCACTGATCCGCGTGTTTATTTTGTCTTCCAGGCGAGGGTACCGAGGCAGGGTGGGGCTGTGGGTGCCTTTGGGAGCCGCTAGCCTCAACAGCGCTCTCAGCTTGTGCCCGGCACCCAGAGCTGTTCCCGCTTCCTTTCATCGTGTTTCTCTTCTCTTACAGACGGAGTCCACAGCTGGCGAAGCCACTGAGCAGGGCAAGGCTGGGCCCTGCCCGAAGGGACCCCAGAGTCCTTCACCAGCCCCTGTGCCCCGGAGCCCACCAGGCTCTCGCGCTGGCGCCACCATGACGTCAGAGCCACCTCCAGTGGTGCCACCTCTCCACTCCCCCAAGTCCCCCGTCTGGCCCACCTTCCCCTTCCACAGGGAGGGCAGTAGGATCTGGGAACGTGGTGGTGGTATCGCGCCTCGGGACCTGCCCAGCCCTCTGCCTACCAAAAGGACCAGGACATACTCAGCGTGAGTACCTTCCCCTCCCCTCAGTCCCACAAACTTTCTCCAGGCCAGGGCCAAGCCTGCCTGTCCTCCCAGGAAGCTGTGCGACCTTCCAGTGACTTCAGTCAGTGTCCCTTCATTCCAGTTACAGAGCTCTCACCAGAACCTAAGGGATAAGTAAGATAAGTCTACAACTCGCAGGGGTTTGGATACTAGGTAAGGACTTAGCCTGGGGTGTGGTTAATTAGGACATCCTAGCTGAGTTTGAAGATGCTTCAGGTGAAGAAGGAAGAGACTCGAGATACATAACCTAGACAGTGTGTGTACCTGTTACAGCCTTTGTGTGTGTGTGTGTGTGTGTGTAGGTCAGAAAACAACTTGTCAGGAGTGGGTTCTGGGGTTCAGACTCAGGTGTTCGGTCTTGGCAACAACTGCATTACCCACTGAGCTGGGTTTTTTTTTCCTTGTAGACCAGGCTGGTCTCAAACTCACAGAGATCCGCCTGCTTCAGCTTCCCGAGTGCTGGGATTAAAGGCGTGCGCCAACTCCCGTCTTCATGGCTGATTTTTTTGAGACAGGGTTTTGAAGTAGTGCTGATTGTCTCAAACCAGATTTATGAATGGTGGGGCTCAGGCATGTACTGCTGTGCCTGGCTGCAAGCCTTTATTATCACTACTACTCTGCATAGCAAGCATGCATTGTCCTACGTGTGACCCAAGGACACAGCAGACACGTATGAAACGTAGTGACGGGTGGTCCTAGAGCTACCATGAGAGATGGTGAGGTGCCTCTTAGTTTTAGATTTTTAAAAATTAATTTAGCCGGGTAGTGGTGGCTCACGCCTTTAATCCCAGCACTCAGAAGGCAGAGGCAGGAGGATCTCTGTGAGTTCGAGACCAGCCTGGTCTACAGAGAGTGAGTTCCAGGACAGCCCCCAAAACAATACAGAGAAACCCTGTCTCGAAAAACCAAAAAAAAAAAAAAAAAAAAAAAAACAGTTCTGAGGATGGAACGTGAGCCTTACCCATGGAAGGCAAACTGAGCTACACCCCTAGTTTCACTCACAAATCTTTCAAGTGGAAGCCATTTAAGCCTAAACATCTGGATGGAGGGTGCTGTTTAGAGGGATACTGACAAGGGGCCAGGAGGTGCCCTTGTCCTACTACACTGAGACACTGGGCAGGCCATTGCCCTGCTCGGGGCCCCAATCTTTGTTATCTGCCCAATGGCAGTATTGTTGGGGGTCCAAAAGCGGGTGGGCTCTCCAGGCCACAGCTCCAGCCCTCCTACCCTCTCCCCAGGACAGCTAGAGCCTCGGCTGGCCCGGTGTTCAAGGGCGTCTGTAAGCAGTTCTCACGCTCACAAGGTCACGGTTTCATCACCCCTGAGAATGGCTCTGAGGACATCTTCGTGCATGTTTCTGAGTGAGTCCCCCCCTTCCCTGTTTCTGGCCGGGCCCTGCACAAGTGTCCACCTCCCCTAGCTGCTGAGGTGGGCGTTCCCGCGGGCTACCCCTGCTCTGAGGAGTGCTGGGTCAGTTAGTCCCCAGAGCCCTGGTGATCACTGCTGAGGCGTGGGGTCCTATGCTAAGATCATGGGGGTCCTTAGAGCCAGACCTGCTTCTCGGTCCCCACACAGGGAGGGAGTCTCAGGGAGGCTAGGGCCACAGTGCTCTCCGGGGACTGGCCTGCCGTCGCCCTGATCCTCCCCCTTCTGTCCACCAGCATCGAGGGGGAGTATGTCCCCGTGGAAGGCGATGAGGTCACCTACAAGATGTGTCCCATCCCACCCAAGAACCAGAAGTTTCAGGCCGTAGAGGTGGTGCTCACCCAGTTGGCCCCCCATACTCCACACGAGACATGGTCTGGCCAGGTTGTGGGGTCCTAGACAGGTGGGGGACGCCCCCACGAAGAGGCAGGCAGCGGCCAGCTCTGTGCTCCCACTGCGCCGCTGACCAGCCCTTGGGCGTGCCCGTTTGTCTGTCTGTCTGTGCTCGTGGCCGTGAATGCGTGCTTCTGCCCACCTGTGACCCGTGACTTGCGTGATCCGGCCAGGGTCGGGTGGAGTGCAGCCACCGCCTGACTCTCCTCCAGCCCTGCCATGGAAACACAGGACCTTCTTGCCCTCTTGCCCACCTACCTATGTCCTAAGTCTCTGTGGGCCTGCGTCGTGTTCTTGAGAAGCCCAGGGAGGCCCTTCTCCCGTGAACCCACTCCTCACTGCTGTCCTCACACCCACTCGGCCCAGAACCTAGCCCTGTCTGCCTGTGCTCCTGTCTCCTGTGCTAGACCCGGGTGTCCGCTACAGACTCCTGAGTGCTTTGTAGGGGCCTCCAACTTTAGGAAGTGGGCAAAACATGGAGGTTCATGGCCAGCCCCTGCCATAACCTGGCTCATCTTCCTGACCCCACCCTTCTGGTGCCCTTGAGAGAACAGAGCTGAGCAGGAAGGAACGTGGGTGCTCCTGTTGTGTTGACCGGTCCTCTCTCCTCAGCCAGCAGAGGCTCTTTTGAACCCCAGGGGCCTGGGTTCCTTCCCGAGCGGGGGAGCCAAGCTCATCCCTCCCCACGGTGAGGTAGGGACATGTTTTCCTCCAGCTGGGACAGAACCGTCTCTGCCATCATGATGCACAAACCCTGAATGCCCCGCCCAGTGCTGGCCGTGACAGCGGCTGAGGATGCAACTGACATGTCTCCTCAGGCAAGGCCAGGTCCAGGCACTTAGAATGGTCCCCAGCCAGGGAGACCACTGGCCTTGTCCCCCTCCCCAAATTAGACCCTCTTCCCAAAGCATTAAAATGGCTCCTACAGATCCCTGACAGGGCAGTAGTTGAGGTGGCTCTTATCTTGTCCATCCCTCGAGTGTGACTGTCCCTCTTACCTGGAGTCCCTCTGGGGCTAAGAGGCATCCCTTCTAGAAAGTGGGATCACAGAAGGACCTGCCCAACAGTGACCCTTTTGAGACCCAATCTTCAAGTAAAATGTGGGCTCAGACGATCAGGATGAAGGGGTCAGTGATTGTCTAGGTGACCTTGTAGGTGTTCGGGACCACAGGGTAGAGTCATTTGGGGTGTTTGTACCCACTTTGTCCCAGAACCTATTGCACAGAAGTCAGCAGCCTAGAACTGCTAAAAAATGTTGGCTAGTCCCTCACACTGGAAAAGACCTACCTATCTGACACCCCACTGTGAACTAGGCTTCTCCAGCAAGGCCTGTCCTTGAAGAACTGTCCTCTATCAGCTTGAGGACCTGAGTTCAAATCTCCAATATGCCTGTCACCCAGCACTGGGTGACAGACAAGCATATCCTTGACAGGGAACTGGTTGGTACAGGTGGATCCCAGGGCCACCCAGGCCTCCCTCCTGTGAGCAGGCCCTCTTCAGGCATCATTTTGAGGCTGAGTGGCAGAGGGCATCAGGCCTCCTCTCTACTCTCAGGCCCTGCAGTACAGAGTCCTCAGCCACGGATTACCCATCCCCTCCTGACACTGGCAATAAACTCAACTGTGACCCACCCTGCCTCTGAGTGGCCTGTCTGTGAGAATCCTTGGAGAAGGGGCTGAGGAAGGACACAGCATGCTGGCGACGTTTGGGGCTTCAATGGGCCAAAGACCTCCTGGGGCAAGCTGCTTTGTCTGACCGAAGAGCATGTGACAGGAACACATCTAACACACCTTGTCTTGGGAACTTTAATCTGTGACAGTCCTTTGAGTAGTGCCCCTTCTGGGCACTCTTCCCCTTGCCAGTTGTGGCCAGCAGGTTCCGCAGCATAACTCACATGCCTCCCTCTGGGGTCAAACCTCTTTTTTCTTTTTTTTCTTTTTTTTGGTTTTTTTTTTTGAGACAGGGTTTCTCTGTGGCTTTGGAGGCTGTCCTGGAACTCGCTTGGTAGTCCAGGCTGGTCTCGAACTCACAGAGATCCGCCTGCCTCTGCCTCCCGAGTGCTGGGATTAAAGGCGTGCACCACCAACGCCCGGCCTTTTTTCTTTTTTTTAAAAGTTTTTCAGGACAGAGCTTCTCAGTATAGCTTTGTAGACCAGACTGGCCACAAACTCACAGAGATCCACTTTCCTCTGTCTCCCGAGTGCTGGGATTAGAGGTATGCGCCACTATCGCCCAGCTCGGTGAAACCTATTCTGTCCCAAAGACCAGCAGCATCAGAAGCCAGGGGCCATCAGTGGAGTGCAGGAATAAGTCTTATCGGGAGCCACCTGGCTGGGGACAGGTGCCACAGACCCGGGTCCTGTGTGGGTGGGGCTTGTGGTGCTCCACATGATGCTGCCCCATGGGTCTCTCTTCAGGCCTGGCCAGAGCTCTTTGAAGGTCCCAATGCCTAGCTGTGGCCACAGTCATGCCTCATGGGCTGTCTCTGGGAAGAAAAGTTCTCGGCACCGTTGTACAGTATCCTGAGGGGAGACCACACTATGGCCGACAGTCCGGGGGTCTGCATAGATCTCAAAGTCATTCCCACCCTGCATTCAGAGGAAGGACAGACAGAGAAGACATGATCTTAGGTGATGCCTACAGGACAGGAAGTGCCTAGGATTGAGGCCAAGAGCCACCCTTCCCATCCTCGCTCCTGCAGACCCGCCCCTCCTCAGACCTGCCAAGAATCCCAGTATCCTGGCTTCTCAGACCCGCCCTGACTTGCTATATAACATGGAACAGGTATCTAGAGTTCTTTGGGTCTTAGTCTTCTGAACTGTAGAGTGGGAACAGTGAGTGTCTTCTGGGAAGCGCAGACAGGTTCTAGTGTCCTGTGTCCAGGCCTTGACCTCAGGGGCTCTGATTGAGGGGAACTGGGCGGGGTCGCACTTACAGGACTGGTCTCATTGCCAAAGAAGTGTATGATGTCGAAGCTGTCCTCATCCAGACTGTCGAGGCAGCAGCGCTTATCCCAGCCCTCGGGGAAGACGTCGAAGCTTATCATGCCTCCTGTGGAAGTGGGGGTTATGACAAAATCCTGGGAAGGACAGACAGGGCTGGCAGCTTCTCAGGGAAGCTCACAAGGCTAACTTGGGCAAAACACGCTTTGCTTGTGAGACAGCCTCGGGTACCCAGTTTGGCCTTGGACTCCCCATCTTCCATTTCTACCTCTCACGTGCTGGGATTACAGACACGTGGCAGCGTGCCTGGCTCTAAAGCACTTTGTTCATTCAAAAACCCTGAGAGGCCGGGGTTTGGTGGCACACGCCTTTAATCCCAGCACTCGGGAGGCAGAGGCAGGCAGATCTCTGTGAGTTCAAGACCAGCCTGGTCTACAGAGCAAGCTCCAAAACAACACAGAGAAAGCCTGTCTGATTTTTCAAGACAAACAAACAAACAACCCTGAGAGCCACAAGGGCAGACTCAGGATCTGCAGGGTCTCATTCAGGCAGGCCACAGGCAGGAGCAAAGGTAGACTCACTCAGCCAGCATGGCCAGGGAGACCCAAGGCGACGGTAAACTGGGACACAGACCACATTGGGGGTACCCAGGGGGTTCTGAGCAACAGGGTAACACAACTGTAGGTCCTAAGTGACCATGGCATCTGTTCTCCCCTGTGGCCACTGGGATTACCATGTGCTCCAGGTACCTCAGGGGAGCAGCCAGTGGCAGAGGTTGAGTAGAATCAGCTTCAGAAAGATCTGCAGAGGCCCTGACTGATGTTCAAGCCAATTGGACTAGGCACGGACCACTCGCATCAGTGGTCATTGAACGAAGTGGGCAAAATTGGGTAAGTAAGTGGTCCTGCTGCTGTGCCTGAGTCTATGGCAGGAAAGACATACCTCGCGAGAACCTTAGCCCCTTGCCAGCAAACTCTGTCTTCAGGGCTTCCACAAACTTCTCCCGGATCTTCTCCTTCTGTACAGGGAAGAGTGCATATTGGCTCAGAGGGCCTGTCAGTATACCACGCCCGGAACCCTCACCAGCTCCTTGCCTCATTGTCAGTGCTGGGGCTTAGACCCGGAAATCAGTAACCCCCACCAATAGGGGTATGGAGGCATCAGAAGAAAGGGGGAGGGCATGGAAGTAGAGGGTCAGGTCAGGCCAGGCAGGACCCACCCTGCGGTCTACAGGCTGACTGCGTTCCCTTCCGGGCCTGGTGGCTACACTGCTAGCTTTGTGGCCCTAAGCAAGTTACCTGACCTCTCGGAGCCCATTTCCAGAACTAAAGGATAGAGAAGTAATTAGTGGCTTCTCCCTCGAGGAAAAGAGCTGAGAGACGTGACCCCCCCCCATGGCCTTGATTTTACCTTCCTAGCAGGTGGTGTGCCCCAGGGACAGCACTGTGGATGCTGGCACTCAGAGCCCAGGGCTGGGGGCTGCACCTCCCTCTTTTAGCTGATGGCTGGTCACCTGACAGCTTCATGTGCCAAGCCAAGCCCTAATGTGTCCAGCTTTGTGACCCTAGCAAAGCTCCTGAGGACAGGGTCCTTATCTAACCACACATCCCCATCCTAGAGATGAGGGAAGGGGCTGGGATGCCAGCCATATCCCAGCTTCCCCTACTGCTCCAGGCCAGGTTCATTACCTGTTCTCTATCCCCATCCGGTCAGTAAAGCTGCCTTTCCAACCTAACTGGGCAATAGAGGTCGGGCTGGGACTACCTGAGGAACATGGGAAGGGGCCCCCACCTGACTGGGAGGCTGTCAATGACCAGCCCTAACTATTCCAACAGGAAAAGTGCCTTGTTCCCATGTCCACTGCCCCCTGTAGGCCTCTGTGCACTGTGGGAGTTACACTGTCAAGACCCACCCAATTTCAGGGAAACACCCGGGACCAGTCGGCCATATCAAAAACCATACTCTGAGACCAATTCCCTAAGTGACCTGACATGAAAGCCACTTCTCTGAGCCTTGGTTTCCACATCAATACGATGGGCATAAAACACTTGTCCATTCGTTCAAAAGCATTTCATGGCAGGTAGGCACAGTGGGACACACCTATGACACCAGCCAACAGGAAGCCTCAAGTTGGAGGCCAGCCTTCACTGTTTCAAAAAAGAAAATGTTCCTTGGGCTGGGGGTGTTGTGGGTCAGTGGTAGGGCACTTGCCTAGCACGTATGAGGTCCTGGGATCCGTCCCCAGAACCAGGAGTCTCCGCACAGGACACATAAGGGGTTTGGGGCTGGACGCCACAGGAGTGGAAAGGGTGGAGAGGAGGACAGCCTGGTCTGGGCAGTGTGCATCGCCAGTGCTGAAGCGGGGAAAAAACGGCATCTCTCGAAATGAGCAGAAGCCATGGCTGCAACGGGCAGCAAGGGAGGAGCAGCTGCTGGGTCAGAGACCATGGATGAAGCCACGAGAGCGTGGAGGGATGAACTCGTGCCTCCCCTGAGGGGTGACTGTCAGGGAGGCGGCAAGCAAACTGCATGGTAACGCTAGGGAGGCGGTGAATAGGCTGCACACACCTGTAACCCCACATTCAAGACGCTAAGGGAGGTCACAAGTTCAAGGCCAGCCTGGGCGAACACCAACAAAAAGAAACAAAATCTGGCCATTTAAGAGAACTTGGAAGTTCTGGATGCAAGCGCAAACATGGCATTGCAGACAGAGGCTGGAAGGGTGAGCTGGAGCAGGGCAGATAGAGGCCTCAGGGCTGTGAGGAGCCGGAGGCGCTGCCCAGCCAGCACTGGAGAGCCACAGAAGGCTTGTCACTGGGGAGACAGTTGTTGGTTCTGGTGTGGGTATGCATGCGGCAATGGTACTGAGGCCATAGAGTGGGTCACTAGGGGCTGGTGGCACAGGTTACCAGGAAAGGAGACCAGCAGCGATAGAAAGAGGCTGGAGTGCCTGCAGAAATGACACGGCAGGTGTCCAAGTCTGAACTCAGGATTCCTCCTCTAAAACCCATTTTACTGATGAGAAAGCAAAGCTCAGTGTTGAGTGACAGGGTCTACGAGCTCATATGGGCCTATAGCTGCTCAACAAATGGCACCTTGTCCAGTTCAGAGAACTCGATCCTCTCCTCCAGGGTGCAGCTGCGGCCGATGGGTGAGATGTTCAGCATGCCATTCCGGAACTCAATGAAGGTTCCACTAGGGGTGATGGAGAAAAGGGGAGGAGAGGAGAACAGCTTTGAATTCAAATCCTTTCTCCTTGAACTTCACAGGGTATAAGGAACCACCCATGTATAAGTTAGGGTCCTGGACCTCGGGGTATAGATAATTGGTAGAACGCTTGCCTCTTTCCTGGGTTCTGACCCCAGTTCAGAAAACAGAAAATCCAGGGGTTCCATGTGAAGGGCTCCCTCCCTCTACCGGCAAGCCCAGCTCAGTTGGGGCCTCACCGCTTCTTGGGCAATCTGAGCAGAGCCATGTAACTGAGACAGAAGTTGATCAAGTCCTGCAGTAGCTCCTCCCCCAGGCGGTTCTGGATCGTCTGTGTAAGGAACACAAGGCTCGGACCCTGGCACACACACAAACCAGAGAGAACCCAGCTTGGAAAAGCGGGGGGCCCCCGGCCGAGGCCTGGGGACACTGACCTGCTTGGAGAGTAGCCGTCCATGCTTGTACTGCACTGTCCCATTCT